AGGGGAACACTGGCTGGGGAAGGGAAGACCGATCGGGGAGGCATGCCTCCCCTTCGCTTCCCCAGCCGCCCTGCTGGGAGCCGCACAATATGTGTGGAAGAGCCACATGTGGCTCCCAAGCCACAGTTTGGCTACCCCTGTCCTATAGTGTAGAGGTTAGAGCAGGATTCCCCAACAGGGTGCCCACCAGTGCTTCCCTTGGAGCTACCCTTTTTCTACCCTTAGAAACCACCCTTATTCAAATGAAAGGGTTTCCTCCTGGAGGACTAGTAAGCACCTAGGCTTCCCTTAGGCAGTGTGTGGTTCCTTTTCCCCTTCAGGCTTTAATTCTCCCCAGGAGGTGTGAGGAAGGAAGCTTTCATTCAGCTCCGCCTTTTATTGCAGCCATTTTAGGTTTGGCTCCACCTCCTGTGGCAGCCATTTTGGGGCGGTGCTCACCATCCCCTCTCAGGATTCCAAATGTGCCCTCGGGCTAACGAAGGCGGGGGATCCCTGGGGTTAGAATGTCAGACTAGGCATTTGGAAGGGATGGCTTCAGATCCCTGCCAGTGTCCCCTCTAAGCTGAGTGAGTGTGAGCTAGCTCACAGTTGTTTTGCCTCTGGCTCAACACAATTTTGTCTTAGCTCAGGGGAGGATGGTTCCAGAGCAAACTCATTTATGCAGCAGCCAAATTGCTCGCTCACAACTTTAATGCCAGTAGCTCACAAAATAGAATTTCTGCTCACAAGACTCCACAGCTTAGAGGGAACATTGATCCCTGCTCCACAAGATTTGCCCTGGGCCAATTGGGCACTCTTACCCTGATCTCATCGGGTTGGCCCTGAGCGTGACAACGAAGGGTGGAATAAGAACGTGAGCGTCTTTCAACAGCTCCTCTAGGAGTAGGCCAGTGTTACTACCGCTGTCTCCCTGAAAGAGAGTGGCTTGCGGAAGCCTGCCCCGTGCGCTTGTGGCAGAAGTGGGATTTGACCCGGGCCCCTCCTCTGTCACAGCTCGTTCTCGTAGCCGTTACGCCGCACCAGCTCATACCGTTGTGTTTGTTCCCCTTCTTTCAGCCTTGCTTCTGCTTGGGACCCAAACCCATACTTCCCTTACCTCCTCGTCCCTCTCAGCCTCACCATCTCTTGTCTGCCAAGCACTCTGGCCTCTGTTTTTGCTTCCTTTGAGCAGCACACAGGTTCTCCTCCACCTAGGGCCCAGGTAGGGATTTTTTTTTTCCCAGCCAAAGCTACTTTTCATTTCCCCCTTAGTTTCTGCATTGCTCGAGGGCTTTTCTCTCAGCAGTTAGAATGTTTGTAAACGTGACACCGCAGCAGTTTGATCTGTTCAGCGGTGGTGGAGGGGAAAGTTTGTGGCTGACAGCAAGTTTCTGTGTAGTAGTTAAAAGTTATATTTTGCCTTTCCAGTCCCTTTGTGCTAGAAATTCACATCATATAAATAACGTATGCCTGGAACTGCTGCTAATCTTTCACTCCCCTCAGCTTGCCTACCCAGTTCTTGTCTCTCCCCACCACCCAGGTTTTCTGCAAAACTTTTGAATGTTCACTGGCTTCCCATTAGTTGCTGTCCACCATGGCTGCAGTGTACTCCTTTTTCCTGCCTATGGATACTCGCTCTTCTCCCACCTTCTAGGCAGAGAACGTGCCCATTCAGTGGTCTTCATAAGCCCCCTGTAGGGTTGCCAACTTTCTGGCGGGTCTAGTAACAAATAAATGTACACTGCAAAAACCTTTTAACAAACTAATGTGTTCTATTTATGGTCATCATTTAGTAAAGTGCATAGTGTGTATCATTCTTTCATCCTGGTCAGGTACAAATATTCATTACATTCAATAAGCAATAACATTCAGTACATACAGATTGATAACTACCAGGCAATTTTGCATCAGTGTTTTAAAAGTCAAGCCCCAACGGGAGTTTCTAGAATTATAAACCCGCTTCTCCTTGCATGAAGTCTTCCAAAAAGGGGGACAGCTTTCTTAAGAAGAAGAAGAAGAAGAAGAAGAAGAGATTGGATTTATACCCCGCCCTTCACTTGGAGTCTCAGAGCGGCTTACAAACTCCTTTCCCTTCCCCTCTCCACAACAGGCACCCTGTGAGGTAGGTGGGGCTGTGAGAACTCTGACACAAACTGCTCTTTTTCAAGGACAGCTGTGCCAGAGCTTGTGACTGACCCAAGGTCACATCAGCAGGTGCAAGTGGAGGAGTGGGGAATCAAACCCGGTTCTCCCAGATTAGAGTCCGCACACTTAACCACGACACCAAACTGGCCCCCATAGTTATATGGATGCTTTTTGCCGGTCCTACAAAAGACACATTATGCAGCTAACATTCATGGAGGGAGTACTCCTGTCATTCTCAAAGCTGCATAGTATTGACCTAGTTCTCTGGTTTATAATTCTAGACCATAAATAGAACACATTAGTTTGCTAAAAGGTTTTTGCAGTGTATATTTATTTGTTACTAGACTCTCCTAACACTGCAGCTCGGGTTGCTTCAGCAGCTTTCTGGCGGGGCCTGGAGATCTCCCAGAATTACAACTGATCCCCAGGTTACAGAGATCAGTTCTCCTGGAGGAAGTGGCTGCTTTGGAGGGTGGACTGTATGACATTACACCCTGCTGAGGGTCCCCTCAAACCTCGCCCTCCCCAGGGCTCCACCACCAACTCTCCAGGAATTTCCCAAGCAGGAGTTGGCACCAATGTTCCCTCTAAACTGTGGAGTCTTGTGAACAAAAATTCTTCTTTGTGAGCTACTGGCATTAAAGCTGTGAGCAAGCAATTTGGCTACTGCATATATTAGTTTGCTGTGGAGCCATCCTTCCTGAGCTAAGACAAAAATGTGTGAGCTGGAGGCTAAAAAACTGTGAGCTAGCTCACACTGACTCAGCTTAGAGGGAACACTCGTTGGCACCCTTAGCCCCCAGTGCCCTGGTCCTGACTGCATGTAGCAGCAATCATCTCCCTGTTTGTTTGTTTTTTTAAAAGTAGCCTGTGTCATTAGGTCCAGGTAAACGAAGCACATTTTAGTACTGTAGCTCTTCTGTAAATAATGTGTTGTCGATTTTCAAAACACCTGATGCTGGGAACACCTGAAGCCAGCTTTAATCTCGGGTCGCTTCCTTTCAGTTAAAGAATACTGCAAGACCTTGTTCGCCTACGAGGGTGCCAATGAGGACGAGCTTAGTTTTAAAGAAGGCGATATCATCCACATAATAAGTAAGGTAAGAGGCTTTTTTTTCACGGTCAGAGTGGTTCTGAGGTGGAATCAGCTGCCCAGGGAGGTGGTGAGCTCCCCTTCACTGACAGCTTTCAGGAAGAGGCTGGACGAATATCTGTCAGAGATGCTTTAGGCTGGTCCCGCACTGGGCAGGGGGGTTGGACTAGATGGTCTGTATGGCCCCTTCCAACTCTATGATTCTAGACTGAAGAGAAAGGGACCTAGAGAAGCCTGTCGTGACCATGGTCTTTGGCTGGTGTCCAGTACCAATGGGATTTAGGGTTAATATTTAGAAGCATCATGGCTGTTTTGTAGGCAAATAAGAACATAAGAGACGCCAATGTTGGATCAGGCCAAAGGCCCATCCTGTCCAACACTCTGTGTCACACAGTGGCCAGAAATACCAGTGCCATCAGGAGGTCCACCAGTGGTGGTGCAAAGCACCATCGAGTTGCGGCCAGCTTATGGCGACCCCCCTCAAGGGGTTTTCAGGGCAAGAGAAGAACATTGCCTTCCTCTGCATAGCAGCCCTGGACTTCCTTATTGGTCTCCTATCCAAGTACTAAACAGGGCCAGTGTTCCCTCTAAGCTGAGTTAGTGTGAGCTAGCTCACAGTTTTTTAGCCTCCGGCTCACATTTTTGTCTCAGCTCAGGAAGGATGGACTCCAGAGCAAACTAATTTATCCAGTAGCCAAACCGCTCGCTCACAACTTTCATGCTGGTAGCTCACAAGGTAGAATTTTTGCTCACGAGGCTCCACAGCTTAGAGGGAACATAGGGGCCGACCCTGCTTAGCCTCTGAGATCTGAGAAGATCTGGGGCTAACCTGGACCATCCAGGTCGGGGCTTCATAGGCAAACGGGGCAAACTAAATGTTTCGATGTTCAGAGTGTTCACCTCTGACTCGTCACATCGGCCACCCAGAAGAACGAACTCTTCGTGTTTCTAAAACAATAGCTCTGTTGGTTGAGGACATGGTTGCTTTTATACATTTTGTGCCTGTTATCTGAAGCGAAAGCAAATTCGGCAGCACTCGAAGCGAACGAACCGCTGTTTATTCTAGGATACCGGAGAGGCAGGATGGTGGAAAGGAGAGCTTAACGGTAAAGAAGGTGTTTTCCCGGACAACTTTGCTGTTCAGATCTACGAATCGGATAAAGACTTCCCCGTAAGTTCTTGCTTGCTGCTGCTTCAAGGAAACCGCATAAAGTGAGCCCCGAGGCAGATAGAAAAGCAAGACAATCAGTGACGTTTACAGCCAGATGAAAGTGATACTGTCCTAGCTTGCACTAACAGGCTTGCTGTTCAGCTCTAAGTCACTCAGCACCAGCCTGATAGAAAAACAGGAAGTAATTCAAAGTACTGGTTTTAGAGTTTTGCTTCTGAATTTGATGGCTTTATTTATTTATTTATTTATTTGTAGCATGTATCATTGTTTTGTTAATTAGTATAGAGCCAGTGCGGCGGTGGCCTTTGCTAGGGTATCTGGAGTTTAAAACCCGGCCCAGTTGTACAGTTGTGTCTTAGGAAATTATCTCTCAGTGTGGTGGCTGGGAAATAAGAGAACCGCAGGTCCGCTCCTTGATCTCCTAAGGGGAAGTACAGCTTTGGATAGTGCCAATAGTTAGATGGCATATTTAGATGTCGTTGGGTAAATTCGCAGAAGATGCTTTTCGGTTAGTGTTGCATTCTGTGAATCTGTTCCACCACGGTTGGAACCTTTCTCTGCAGACCAAGACAGCTTGCTCCGGATGAAGTTCTGTAAGTGGAACAGATGTACAGTTATGTCCTGAAATTACACCTCTCAGTCAAAGGGTATTGCAATCAAAACTTCATCTCCTCTTACTGGCTTTTAAATGCATTGGCAAGAACAAGCAGGTAAATTGCAGACACACAGTCACACACCCTGCCAGCAAGCTTAGTGCAGTAGTGCGAGACAGCACTGATTTCTGAGGCTGGAGGGGAAGGCAGCTCAAACTGCCTTTTGCTTGTGGAATCGAAGGAGCCAGTGCAGTGGAGTAGGAAAGACTGCCAGACTAGGGACTCCATTACCAGCGATGGGGGCCTTGGGCCCATCCAGTGGCCGCCGACACCATTTAAAAAACATTTGTAGGCCCCGGTCACACGGAGCATTAGCCACGCTAGAGAGACGGAAGATAGGCGGATTTTCCGGGCGTGATCTCACTGCCACATCTGGGAAGCGTAGAGCTCCCATGGCTCAACCGAGGCTTCCCGCGGAAGATGCGCGGCAAAAAACTAGTACCTTGGAGGTACTAGTTTCCGGAAACCGCGGGGCAAGGGGCGCATACTTCAGGTTAAAAAAAACAACAACACAACCCCGTTTGCCGTGCCGTGCCACTTCTTTGGCGCGTCATGTGATCGGCACCTCCCCCCAACCACGGGACCTCGCCGGGACCGCAAGGGGACGCCTGATTGCGCAGTCGCGCGTTATTTCGCTGCGGGGCAAACAGCCACGGCTCCCCCCCACGATATCCGGCCCGTGTGACCGGGGCTGTAGTTCTTTATCCGTTGCCATGAGGTCCTGATCCGGAGCAGGTACACAGCAGCCCCAGGAGGTCTTGTTCCTTCCCTTCTTTTCAAGAGCTGAAATGGGCTCTTTCCACACCTGGAAAGACAGGGGGGGGGACAGAAGCCCCCAGGACCACCGTGGTGCATATGTTGATGTGCTGCTCCCTTGGATGCATCCAGGAACTCAGGCCCACATGTAGTGCAGTTCATGCTGATAAAAGTAGCCCACGTGCAAGTGACTGGGAGGGCAGGGTGCGCAGATGGAAGGGAGTACGTTACCTCTGTTGTCTAATGCAGTGGAATATTCCGTCTTATACTGTGAGCCGAACATTTGAGTGAGTTGCTGAAATCTCTCCCTTCTTGCAGAAGCCAAAGAAACCTCCGCCTCCTGTTAAAAGTCCAGGTATGTAAAATAGGTGATTATCAGACTGACCGGAAAAGGGTGACTTGTGGATATGTTGTGGGAGGTACTCCAGTTTACATTGCTTGAGCATTAGAACATAAGAGAAGCCATGCTGGATCCGGCCGATGGCCCATCCAGTCCAACACTGTGTCATACAGTGGTCAAACCCCAGGGGCCATCAGGAGGTCCACCAATGGGACCGGAACTGCAACTCCAACAGCATTCAATAAATCTAAGGGGCCACGGTGAAGTCCAACAGAACAAACACCGTGTAATAGTTCGATACAAGTTCACATTATTAAAACGGGTACGTAACAACTCTAGAGACAACACACTGCAACAGTTAAGTACATTACTATCTCAATACAATTTGAATTATTTCACAAGTGTCGTGAAGTCCCCAATTGGTACAAAAAGGCCTGAAGGTGATTTGTTACAAAAGTTCAAGAAGATTCCAAGCGGTCGACGCCCTATTGTGGAGTGGCAGAGTTTTCCTCAGTCTTTAGCAGGACCACATAAATCATCAGCGGAACCGAAGCATTGAACAATTCAGCCTAACAGTACACAGTCACTTATTAACGAGTGTGACCACTGTCTAGTCAATTACAGATCAGCCAAATGGTTACTGAGGTGACTGAGGAAACCCCTGCCGCTCCGGAATAGGGCACTGACCGCTTGGAATCTTCTTGAATTTTTTTTTACAAAGGACCTTCAGACTTTTGGTAGCAATTGGGAACTTTACCACACTTGTGAAATAGGTTGTATTGTATTGAGCTAGCGCTGTACTTAACTGTTGCAGTGTGTTGTCTTTACAGTTATGTACCAGTTCTCAATAATTCGAACTTGTATTGAACTCCAACAGCATTAGCAACATGGAGGTTCCCTTTGCTTGCTTTAAGGTGTCTGTGTACTGCCTTTCTGTTTAAAACAACACCAAGTTTTATGGCACTGTTATAACACAATTAAGCAACAATTAAAAAATCGGGGGCTGAAATACCGGCTCGCGCAGTGTTGGATTACACGCATGAATTCATAGCTTGGGGCAGAATAATCACCAAGTGGCACATTAAGCAATGTGTATAGAATCATAACACAAAGGTTTTACTTTGCAATGCAATCGGATTATTTCAGACAATTTCATTTACCACTGTTACTTTGTGCACATTTCAAGACCTTTACATGTGTGTGTATGTTTATGCGGTCACTTCTCGTGGATCTGGTGAAGATATATCTATCTGGTGAAGATATATCTCTCTGTCTTTCTTTCCCCTTTGTGTGTGTATGCACATGCACACAGGTACATTTAATAATAGCTGTAATAATGATGTCTGCTGTCGTCAGGAAAAGAATCAACAGCATTTGTCAGATAATTATTCCATTTGCTTTCAGGCCCAAAGCCAGAGCTTCCATCTGTGGAGAAGAAGTTTCCTCTTAAGATCGAAGAAAAAGGTTAGATCTGTTTTATTTCCAGTGAGCTATGAATGTTGATGGGTAGAGTTGTGCTTCAGAAAAAGAAAACCTTAATGAATTACAGGTGGTATGTTATGAAGGGTTAGAAGTAAGGTAAAGAAATAGAAATCCCATAATGCATTGCTTACATGTTTCTTTATTAACATATTTATAGCCCATTTTTCTTTGTAGCCCAAAGCGGTTAATGGTTTGTGTAATCAGAACACGATACAGTCCATAAACTCCGTTTGCAGCAAAGAATCTTACAAAATGCCTGCAGCTCGGTCTACAAACAGCCTTGCAAGTAAAACAGGCTCACAAGCTTCTAAATGTTTCCGTGGATGGCTTCCTGAGGGAGCCCATTCCATAGAGTTGGGGCAACTTCATGAAAGAACAGGCGCCACCATAAGAACATAAGAGACACCAATGTTGGATCAGGCCAAAGGCCCATCCAGTCCAACACTCTGTGTCACACAGTGGCCAGAAATACCAGTGCGTTCAGGAGGTCCAGCAGTGGGGCCAGGACACTAGAAGCCCTCCCACTGTTGACCCCCCACCCCAAGCACCAAGAAGACAGAGCATCACTTGCCCCAGAGCCCCTATCTATACCTTGTGGCTAATATCCACTGACGGACCTCTGCATCATATGCTTATCCAATTCCCTCTTGAAACCGTCCATGCTTGTAGCTGCCACCCCCTCCTGTGGCCGTGAATTCCACGTGTTCATCACCATAATAGAAATGAATCTATCACCAGTCTGGGGTGGAGGAAGAGCATGATCAGCATGGGGATGTGTGGGGAGAGATGGTCCTCCAGACGCATGGGCCCCACGTGGGAAAAGGTCTTGAAAGGTTATAATGAGCACCGGTGCAAAGTTATATTCCTTTTCAGTGGACGTCATGTTTTAAGGCAGCATTTCTGATTTCTGAATGAGAGAGAACTAGGAAGGAATATAAAAGCATTGAATGTGGGTACAACTGAATACTAAAACAACTGGACATTCTTTTTAATAGGATCATGTCTGTTGCCCTTTCTAACAGCGTGTGTAGTTACTGAAAATCACCGAACTGGATAATGTTAATTTTCAGAAGGCAATAGTTAATCCTTTGACATGCTCCCACTAGTCTGTAAAACTTGAGATGATCTGTCTGTCATCTCGGTCGTTAACTCCCAAATTAACAAATGCTTTTCAGCAGACGCTATTCAAGGCGAAGGCTAAAAGGGTTTGGTCAGGGGGAAAAAATGTCTGAAATATCTTTGAGTTATCTTCATACTGAGTGTTTTGGCTTCCAAGAGTTGCATATGCTGCCATAAATTTTGTGTAATGTGGACGTTAAAGTAGAAGATGATGATTCTTCTGTTTTCTGAGCCAAATATTTCCCGTGTGACTAAGCTCACGTCGCTACACGGCTCTCTGCTCTAAGGCGTGGACGTAAAGAATCTTTGTATTATCCTCTATCGAGAATATCTAGGAATGATGGCTGAACGCTTCTGCTGGGCATCAGGGGAGTCTAGTAAATTGTGCAGACCAGGGGTGGCCAAACTAAGAGCCACATAGAATAAACATTCAGATTTTTGAGAGCCGCAAGACATGAACAAATATCACACACACACGTTTTTATTTAAAAATATGCAGATTTGCTTTTTTATTAACATTCAGTGAGACTGCCCAAAATAAAAACAGAAAGGGTAAAAGCAGATATTGATAAAGATATGTATTTGTCCGATGATGTTTGTTTGCTATTGATACGTATTTGTCTAAGAGAGAGTGAAAAAGAGCGAGGTGGAGAGAGAGAGAGAACCAAGAAAACAAATATATGGGAGGGAGGGGGAAGGAAAGAGAGGGAGGGAAGGAAGGAGGGAGAAAAAGTAGGCCTCCCCTTTGCTTCCCCAGCTGCCCAGCCGGGACCCGCACAATATGTTTGAAAGAGCCGTGTGTGGCTCCCGAGCCGGAGTTTGGCCACCCCTGGCGTAGACTCATCGAGTGTTTTACGGATACCGTGGACCGCCAAAGAGACAAATAAGTGGGTTCTAGATCAAAATAAAGCCTGAACTCTCCCAAGAAGCTAAAATGACTAAACTGGAGCTATCGTACTTTGGTCACATTGTGAGAAGACAAAGAGTTACTGGAAAAGACGAGGGTGCTAGGAAAAGTTGAAGGCAGTGGAAATGAGGAAGACCCAACAGGAGATGGACGGACTCAACCAAGGAAGCCACAAAGGACCTCAGTTTGCAAGGCCTGAGCCAGGCTGTTAAGGATAGGATGTTTTGGAGGCCATTCATTCATACGGTTGCCGTAGGCTGGAAGCCACTTGACAGTACTTAACACGCGCACACACACAGTATGGCTGCGGTCACACGTGCCAGTTGGAGCGGAGGGGAAGCAAGGCTATTCCCTCCGGAGGAATTTGACACGCAATGGCGAGATCAGACATCCCTTTGTACCTGCAGGCACAGCCCATTACTGTGTGATCAGACACAACTACGGGTGAGTCAGGGTTGGTTTTTTTTGGCTGTCTTCCATGCGCATAAACGAGGAATCGCACCTCCGCACTGAGGGCCCCCTGTGGAGTATGCGATGATGTGCATACTGTGAAGGGGGGGGGGAAATAGCACTGAGCCGGGATGGCCTGATCAGACCATCATGACGGCTTGAGAGCATGCTTGCGCGATCAGACGGGAAAGTGCGTCTGTGGTCCATCACAACCTGTTTACTACCGGACTTTCCCCGGTGTCTTTTTACTCCGCTTCTGCAGCGGAGCAGCATGGGTTGGCGACGACTGCGGGACGCTTCCCAGATGTTGCTGTCTGATCGCGCCCTTTAGATCCATCAGGGATTCGCACCTATGGTAGAGGTCCTTAACTAATAGAGGTAGAGCTCTTAAACTAATAGAAACAGCTGCAGGTTCTCTAAACAAAGAAGAAGAGGAAGAAGAGGAGATTGGATTTATACCCCGCCCTTCACTTGGAGTCTCAGAGCGGCTTACAAACTCCTTTCCCTTCCCCTCCCCACAACAGACACCCTGTGAGGTGGGTGGGGCTGAGAGAGCTCTGACACAAACTGCTCTTTTTCAAGGACAGCTGTGCCAGAGTTTGTGACTGACCCAAGGTCACATCAGCAGGTGCAAGTGGAGGAGTGGGGAATCAAACCCGGTTCTCCCAGATTAGAGTCCGCGCACTTAACCACTACACCAAACTGGCTCATCCCACCCCCATAATATTTTGCATGTATGGGTATTGACTAAGCACAGCACAAAGCTCATATCTTCCCCTCTTCTTTTGCTGTATATCTGGGAAGTATTTATCCAAATAGAAACTGTCAGACATAAAACAAGGCCACTAGCAACCATCAGGTGGGGAGACTGCTTATCAACTCTTGAAGGAAACATTCCATGTTGATTCTCTAATAACAGAACCCAAGGTCTTCACAATGTAGTAATTGATAAGAATTGGGATCGCTACACGCTCAGATAAAGCAAATATTGTGAAACAAATTGTTTTCAGTGCACAGTATTCATTGCATGTGAGCGATTATAGAAGAAAATTTTCTACAGAATTACTACAGTAAACGTTTTTGCAACTTATCTTTATTGATTTTTGTCATGGACGTTGTTTTTGGTATTCCACTGCCTGGAGGTTGGCAGCCCAACCTGTAACTTTGAGTAATACGTTGTCATTAGTCTTATATTTTTATATGTGCAGAGACTGATTTTAGTTGCCACTGGAGGAATTCCCTAAGATGACAGAACTGAAGGAAAAAATGTTTATTTTGGGGTGCCTTTTTCTTTGTTTCGCTTTTTAGACTTGATTCCCAGGGAAGGTAGCGTTGTTAGGAATTCTTTCCAGCCGGGCCTATGCAAACTGAGACCCGCACCAGGCAGAACAGCCCAGGTCTGCAGTGCTTCCAGCCATCTAAATATTATAACGCTTTATCACACAGATGAAAAAGCCGCTTTGGATCAGAAGGCTCCTAAACCGGCAGCCCCTCAAGTACCACCCAAGAAACCCGCCCCTCCAAACAAGTCCAATAACATATTACGAGCTGGGATCTTACATCCGAAACGGCCGGATAAGCCGGTCATGCAGCCATCGCCATCCAAGTGAGTGTCTCCTTTTTTTTTCTTACGTGTTCTTAGGATTCCAGACTGGCTTCCAACTAAGAGTCCAAACTCACAAATACAATCCAAGTTGCCATGGACTAGACCTGAGCCCCAACCATCAGCGGGGATCCATCAGCCCCCCCACAAGCCACAAGCTTATCCTTCCTCGCCAAAGGAAATTCCAGATGAACATATTTATTTATTACTACTATTTATTTTTTAAATTTGATTTTAGACCACTCTCCCCTGGAGGGAGGAGCTGCAGTGGCTCAAGTGGTTAAGACGCTGAACTGCAGGCTGTGGAAGGTCAGTAGTTCAGCAGTTCCAGACCCGAGTGCCGCATGATGGAGTGAGCTCCCGTCTCTAGTTCCAGCTCCTGCCAACCTAGCGGTTCGAAAGCAAGAAATTGCAAGTAGATAAATAGGTACCACTTCGGTGGGAAGGTAACAGCGTTCCGTGTACCTTGGTGTTTAGTCATGCTGGCCACATGACCACGGAAACTTCTTCGGACAGCGCTGGCTCTTCGGCTTTGAAACGGAGATGAGCACCGCAACCCTAGAGCTGGACTCGACTGGCTTTCGAGCAAGGGAACCTTTACCCCTTTACCTTTTACCCCTGGAGGGGCCATGCTCAGGGCGGTGTACAACCTGATATCGTTATAAACATTGTTAAAAACTAAACCAATGAAACATAGCAGTACCAAAAGATGGCGTTAAAATGTCCTAATGGTATCACTGTCCTCACGGGGAGGCAGGGAGTGGGAATGCCAGAAAGGATGGCGCTGTCGCTGTCCTCGACCAAACACCTGGCGGAACATCTCTGCCTTTTGGGCCCTGCGGAACTGTATCAGGATGTTATTCAGCAGAGAGTTCCACCAGGTTGGAGGACAGTCAGATATCTCTCAGGCTGGGGACCACCACCAGTATACCAGGCGAGGCGGTCCCAAAGATACATGGGTACCGGACCACTAAGGGCCTTAAAGGTCAGTCAAAAACTGGAAAAAAGGGTGGGGGGACAACCCAAGATATATCTGTGAACCAAGAGGGTCAAGCTAACACTATATGATATATTCTAAAAATACAAATGTTTATTAAGGTGTACACATGTTAAAACATATTATGATTAAAAGGAAGAGTCTAAATTTCAGACTTTTTAAAAACTTTTCATATACAAATACACTTGACAGGTAAACACTTTTTAACTTAGGACCAAACACATTTCGGCCCCTTCGGGCCTTCCTCAATGGTCACTGTGCTCTATATTACACGGACACACATCCAAAATACACATATAAAAGGTTTTTGTATATATTATCAGACGTTGTTTCCTGCAATTATAGAAAGGAAGAAAAGAAGGGAGGGGGGGAAGCCTGATTATTACATACCAAATGTATAAGAACACATTAATATTAATAAAGATTTTTTTTTGCTGAAGTTACCTTAAAGGTCAGCACCAGAACCTTGAACTTGATCCAGTAGTCCGCTGGAAGCCAGTGCAGTTCGCGCAGCACAAGGTGGATGCGTGTTGTACGTGAAGTCCCCATGATATTGCTGAGTAGAGTGTGGAGAAGGGCTTGACCCATAAACAAGAGGAAGCATTCTGACCAAATTTTAAAAATGGAATGCCCTTCAAAGGATGTCTTGCAAGGCTGCCTTTTTTAGAAGACAAACCCAGACTTGTATTGTTCAGGCATTCTTTTAGTTCTCGCTCAATAGGATGGTTTGGTGCAGGGTTCCCTCTAAGCTGTGGAGTCTTGTGAGCAAAAGTTCTACTTTGTGAGCTACTAGCATGAAAGTTGTGAGCAAGTGATTTGGTTACTGCATCAATTAGTTTGCTCTGGAGCCATCCTTCCTGAGCTAAGCCAAAAATGTGTGAGCCAGAGGCTAAAAAACTGTGAGCTAGCTCACACTAACTCAGCTTAGAGGGAACACTGGTTTGGTGTATCAAATTTTAGTGGGCACTGAGAACTATGATACTTCCACTGATTTTGATATTTGCGCTTTCTCCTGTTTGTCCCAACCCACCCCTGGCGGGCCCGAGTAGATGATAAGGGCACGGTATGAATTATTTTAATAAAACAAACAATTTCTCTCTCTCAAACACAGAGCAAATGGAGAAGTGGTTTCCTTGAGACCGAAATCTGAAATTGAGCCCATAGCAAAACCAAAGTTAGACTCGGAGCAGTTGCCCCTGAGACCAAAATCCGTAGAGGTAGATTCAGTTGCAATAAAGAACTCAAAAGAAACAGGTAAGTTTTGAATACAGTGCATTCACTGCAGGAATTTCTGGAGTTTTCCTCCTCTGCAGAATTAGGGTGAACTCTTCAAATGGTTTGCCAGAGCCTTCTAGAATCCATGGGGGTTGTGGATTGGCTACAATATTTGAAGCACTGCACTTTGGATTTCCACACTAGTTTGTTGCCTAAGAGGCATTGTAACAGCTTTTATCTAACTCATAGGCATTTGCACCGTACAGGTGAATGGTGCTGTATTAGGGGAAATGAAGAAAATTCATGTATGATAATAGAGTTCAGTTTTGATCTTTGAAAAAGATATCTTTGGTACAATGGTTTTTATATTATAAAGAAAGCCTTCTTGCGGGTTTTGTGTCTTGATATTTTAATACACCTTCAAATGTTTAATACACCTTTGACTGATGTTTAATAAAAGTTACCTATCTGACAAAACTCCAGTGATAGCTTTGTGAAGCTTTACAGAATTTCTCTTTCAAGAATCACTTCATTTCCAAACTGTGTAATCCCTCTTAGCACTTAATCACGTGTTACAAATGTCTCTGCCCCAGCCTCGTTGATCGATGTTGTTTGAGAGTTCCATGCTTGGAACTGAGTTCCCAGATGGGCATAATCCCAGTTTGGATCAGGACTGCTGGGAGGCAGGGCGAAAGGCTGCCCCCTCTGGAGGAGGGATTGCCCCACTCTAAAATGGCTCCCGAGAGCCACTATTTGCCTTTCGGGGAAACTTACGTATCTTGATGAAGTATGATTGGTGTTGCTTGTTAGTGTAGCGGTGGTGCAGATTGTTCAAGAATCTAGTCTTCAGTAAACTCTGACTGCTAGTTTATAGACCATTGGGCAATCCTTTGTACTCCATTTATGGCATGCCCAAGGATAGGATTTGGCCATTAAAATGGGGAACCTAGTTTTTTTTACGTAAAGCACATGTGAACAGGAAATCCTCATACTGTGAAGTTTTCCAGGGATTTGATGGGTATTTCTTTGCATAGTATTAACTCCGCTTTCCTAAGCTTGTTTGTGAGTAATGCTGCCACCCAAAGGGGCTCTGTTTTGGAGAGCTGACATTGTACTTGATAATTCACCAGTGGAACATTTATCACAGCAAATCTTGCCGGGTGTTCATACTTCAGACTAAAGTGGAGAATCCAGTCCAAAGCTGGCTAAACATGTAATGAACAGACTGGCATCAAAGACGCTAGATATATTCAACCATCATGTCAGTATATTATTGATCTCAAAGTGAAACTGTAAATGACATTATTGTAACAGTAAATACAATTAATCAGCGTTCATGAAGTAATTGTGATTATAAAACTACATGAAGTTATTTTGATGGTTATAAAGTGATTGCTCGTTATAAAGTGGTTGCTGACGAGAACCTCCGGATTAAGTTCCATTTCTTCTCTTCGTCTGAGCAAACCTTCAATAAGGGTTTATTATTTTCCTAGCCACGATTTCTACGTGTCATGCAAACATCTTCAAGTAGTGTTAATCAGTAATTCATCTTGAAGATGTTTGCAAGACACGCAGAAATCATGGCTAGGAAAATAATAAACCCTTATTGAAGGTTTGCTCAGACGAAGAGAAGAAATGGAACTTAATCCGGAGGTTCTCGTCAGCAACCACTTTATAACGAGCAATCACTTTATAACAATCAAACTAACTTCATGTATTTTTATAATCACAATTACTTCATGAACATTGATTAATTGTATTTACTGTTACAATAATGTCATTTACAGTTTCACTTTGGGTGTTCATACTTAACAGCTTGGTGCCCTTTTCTCCTTGCTTGTTTAGATCCAGAAGACTGGTGTTTTGTGTGGAACAGTAAACTATCACTGATCAGCTCAACCCATGTCATTTAGAAACTTACTTACAAAGTAGAATTCTGTATACTTGATTTAATCTAATTAAGCACCCCTAGTCGTTCCGTACCTTAGTGAGTTCTGTTTTTCTTTCTAACCAGACCGACTTTGGGTAAGAGCATACCGTAATCTCCCTCTTTCCCATTTGAGTTGAATAGCGAGTAAGTTTAAGTCGTTGCAGTAGTCGTGTGGTTAGCAGTTTGTTAATCTAGCTCTAGGTTATTGCTTCCAGCTGTGCCATGTAACGCTTCTGTCTTCTGTTTCCCATTATATGTTGCAACTTTACTAGCTTTGTTGTTAAGATCAATTCTTACTCTGTCTGCTTCATAATGTTATTTCATCCTATATTTTTTAAACCATCGTTTCCACTCTTCATTTGTAATTTATTGGATTATACATATTTATTACATATCACGTGCTTATTGCTTTGAGAGTCCTCCTAACAAAAATGATAAGAACGACAATCCAAAATAAAACACTGTAAAACGTTTTTTTTTAAGTCTAAGGCTCTTCAAAAGAAAGAAGGGGCGGGGGGGGGAGGACTGATTTTGACAGGCACCTAAATACCCTTGGGAGCTTTACATAATCTTCGTGCCCCCACCAGAAGTCCCGCCCCCTTGTTGTTAACCATCCACACCTCGGCTGATGGGCGTACAGAGTGGAGCCTCTGAGGAAGATCTTCATTTGTAGGTAGGTTCATATGGGTGAGGAGCTGCGGTGGCTCAAGTGGTTAAGACGCTGAACTGCAGGCTGTGGAAGGTCAGTAGTTCAGCAGTTCAAGACCCGAGTGTGCTGCCTGACGGAGTGAGCTCCCGTCTCTAGTTCCAGCTCCTGCCAACCTAGCAGGTTGAAAGCAAGAAATTGCAAGTAGATAAATAGGTGCCACTTCGGTGGGAAGGGAACAGCGTTCCGTGCGCCTTGGTGCTTAGTCATGCCGGCCACATGACCACGGAAACGTCTTCGGACAGCGCTGGCTCTTCGGCTTTGAAACGGAGATGAGCACCGCAACCCTAGAGTCGGACTCGACTGGCTTTCGAACAAGGGAAACCTTTACCTCATATGGGCGAAGGTCGCCTAAAGCTATCCCGGATCTGAACTGCCTGTTTAGTATTTTGAAGGTTAAAAGCATCACTGTAGAATTACACCGGAAAACTGACTTTAAGCCAGTGTGGTAGATGTGTGGTAGATGCTTGCATTCTGTGGCTCCTCTGAGCACCATCCCCCAATATGACACTCTCCCAGTGTTTCATGAAGGTCCCCTTGCTGGTGGGAACTGTGGTTGTTTGTTGGTGCCCGCCTTGAAACAGCTGGTGCCAGAGGGACAGAATTGCAATCCTCCTCAAATAAAGACACTATAATTCAAAAAAAAAAGACCCCTCTTTTTTCTATTATCTAACCCCCCGCCAATCATCAAATCCACAAATCATCATTTCCCCCCATTTCTTGCAAAAAGTGTATAAGGGGTTTCCAGTTAACCATAGATGTAGATAATGTCTTTTCTCTAGTCAAAGAAGTAAATTTAGCTATCTCTGCAAGTTCCATCATCTTCATTAACCATTCCTCTGTTGTGGGAAATAGTGAACTTTTCCACTGCCATTGTCATATATGAGAATAAAGTTCCATGACTTTTTTCTAGCTGGCTGTCCATTAGTCCACAAAGAAAAAACTCTGGTTTCAATTGCGTGTTAATCTTCAGAATCCTCTGAATTAATGAATGTATTTGTATCCAATTTTTTTTGGCTTTATTACACGGCCACCATAAATGATAGAATGTTCCTTCTTTTTGTTCGCATTTCTAACATATATTCGAAATAATCATTTTTGCTAATTTCTCTGGTGACATATGCCATCAATACATCATTTTATAAAAATTCTCTTTAAGACTATAATTCAATGTAAATTTAAGGCCTTTCATCCACATATTTTCCCATTGCTCCATTTGTATATTACATCCAAAGTTCTGGGCCCATTTTATCATAGATTCTTTCACTTGTTCATCTTCTATCTCAAATTTCAACAAGAGTTTATACGTTTTAGCAATAACATGTTCATCAATTTGTACCATGCAATCTTTCATCTGCTTTAAACCTTTCTAATAATTGTGCAACCATTGGCACATCTGTTATCAAATCTTCTCTTTGTTTCATTTTACAATCCCCTTGAGAAAAATCTAGTATGTCATATTTTAACCATTTATGCTTAGTTATCATTTCTAGTTTATAAAATGCTTCTTGTGTAGGGATCCACAAGGGTGTTTTTGGACACAACCTAGGTTTATATTTATTCCATATTCTTAAAATAGCACATCTAGTATATCTAGTATAATGGTTTTTAAAATCCACATTGACCTTAGCTTTGTCGTACCACAATAGGCATGCCAACCAAATCTGAAATTGTGACCTAACTCCAATAACCTTCTATTTCTCAACAACACCCATTCTTTCATCCAAACTAAGCAGCAAGCAGCAAAGTATCGTTTAAAATCAGGTAACCCCAGACCTCCTCTTTCCTTTGCATCTTGTAATACCTTATATTTAACTAATGGTTTTTTCCCTTGCCATACAAAATTAGAAATATCTTTCTGCCATTGTTTAAATGGTACATCGCTTGTCAAAAAATATATTATCTGAAACAAAAATAACATTCTGGGTAAAACATTCATCTTAATCACAGATATTCTCCCCAGCAAAGACAGTTCTTCTGAGCTCCTTGAAAGCATTTTTATGTTAGGTTTGGGTGTTGGGTTATTCTGAAAATATTCAATTTGGGAAGGTTCTGAGGTGTATAATTTGGTTTTATTTTCATTATAGAATAGTTACCTATTGAGATAAGGTCTATATATCCATAAACCCCATTTTCTTTTCAAATCTCATTTTTCAAAATTTCCTATCACACATAATATGTTACTGAAGCCATCACTTTGAGTGCAGTGTTGTTTCACGTTTACTGTGTTTATTTGAAATTTTAATAGTAATTTTTTTCATTTTTGGCAGTAAAAGATTATTTCCCTATGCAGTTGCCTCTAGAAAGAGGCCAAGGAGTGTTTTTTCAGTTTTGATACACGTAATTTTGGATCATTTATCTAGTCTATAATTCATTTAGCACAGCAATTATGTTTTAGTACCA